GCTTGTCCTGTGCCAGGTGGAGGGTGGGGAGGGAGAAGTGTCCAAGGCAAATGGAGTTACATGAGACCTTCCCTGGGCTGGGCTGGCTCATTCCAGCTCCCTGCACACAGGTTCCCAGCAGTGTGGTTTTTCAACAGTGTGGTTCTGACAAGTCTGCTCCGTGTCAGCTGTGGGCAAGATCCATGTGGCATTTCCAAGAAAATTTCCAGGAAAGGGTATAGGGGCCATTGGAAAGGCTAGGAGGTACTAGGACCCCAAGACTGGCCACTAGTGGATTAACTCCTATAAGTCCTGATGGGAAGCTCCAGGGCCTCCATTAGTTGGATGACCAAGAAGGACCTAGATTGCAATGGGGATAAGACTGGGGCCTGTCTCTGGGTCAGCTTGGATACTGGGTGTGGCAGGCAGGGCCAAGGGTTATGTTTGAATGCAGAGGAGCTCAGGACAGAACTCCTAGCCACACTTTGCGGAACTGGCGTGGGCGGGTGGTGCTTTGGATGGTCCTGGAACATAACAAGGCCCTGTTCGCTGTCAGACCAGTCACACAGCGGCAGTAGGCACAGAGAGGTATGTGGGAAGGTTCCCAAGGCTGAATGGAGTCCAGGTAGCAGAATGGATGCCTGATCCAAAGACATGAATAGACAAGGGGATGGGGGTGGAGGGGGCAGTGGGGAGATTGACAGCTCTCTGTTCCCTGACTGGTGGCTAGTTCTGCACTGACTGACTTAGGCTCTGCATATAAGGCAGGATACCTCCTGATTTTTCTGACATCCTCATTTCACAGGCAACTTCAGCCAGTCTCAGAGGTCCCAAGAGTGTCTGTGTGACTCCAGTTTTCCACATTCTGAGCTCTTGGGGTAGGGATCCCACAAGATCCACTTGGGAGCCCAATTTGTAGAGCAAGTAGGAGCCACAGTGTGCTGGCTGGAAGGTGAATTGGTGTAAGAAGGCAGGAATGAGTATGTGAGGGAGTGAACGCAACATGGCTCTCCTCCTAAGTGCTCTCCTCTTCAACCCAAGCTGCTTCCCTCAAAAATCTGCTTCAGGCTCAAGAAATCTCTTGTGTTTTGTTTTCCTTTTATTTTTGTAATTTATTTTTAATTTCTTATTGTATGGGTATGTGGGTGTACATGCAACTTGTATTTGTGTAGGCCAACATCAGGGGCTGTCCTCTACTGTTTTCTACCTTGTTTTCTAAGACAGGGTCTCGCTCTAAACACAGAGCTCCCTATCAGCTAGACTGGTCTGTGAGCCCCAGGGACCTGCCTGTCTGCCTCCAGTGTTGCTGTCACAGAAGCCTACCACCACTTTGGCTTTTGCATGGGTTCTAGGGATCCACACCAGGAATGTCACACTTGCACAGCAGGTACCTCACCCACTGAACTGTCTCCGCTGCCCAGTGTTGATTTTCTACTACTGCATAATGATGTAGTTGGGGGCTGGGCTGCCCAACCCCACAGGTCCCCAGGCAGAGTGCTGAATTTGCAAGGCTTCTTCTGAGCCCTGAAGTCATCTCCAGGTGACACATCACCAGCAAGCCATTGCCACCTAGACAGTTGCTATGCTCTACTTGTGAGCAAACATGAGGGAGAAAGCCACACATATTTTGAGCAGAATCAACCTTTTGTGAAATGTGGCCCCACAGCTGGCAGAATCTGCAGCCATGGGACCTGTGGGTATGGAGCCTAGCCACTCCATTGTAAAGGCAGCAGGACATGGCTCAAATAGCTAAGTCTTCTATCTATAAAAGCTGCAATCCAGGCATGGATGGAGCCTAGCTCTTCCTCAGTTTGGAGTAAAGATCTCTTTGCAGCCTCAGGACTCACTCTGACCTCCATCTCCAAGTGTACACTGCAGCATCAGCCTTCCACTAGGCTCAGCTGCTCCATAAGACCTATCTGCTCTGAACTGTGTAATTTGCCCACTGAATCATAGAGGCCAACCATGTCCATTCACCTGGAGGAGACCACACACGGAAGAGTCACAGGGGTTGGGGTCCTGGGAACCACTTTAGACTGCTACAAACCTCACTTTCCTGGGCTGGGGCCTGAGTCTGGGTAAAAAGTTAAGCTTGTGGGGTGACTGATTGGACAGGAGTGGAGAAGTGAAGAGTTTCAGCCAGTCATGGCCTTCTGAGAACCAGGGCCCATGCCTGACTTCTCTTTGAAGTGTGGTCGTGGCAACTTATGCTGCGGTACCAGTTATGCTTTCAAGGCCCACCAGTGTGAGGGATGATGGCCTGCCTGTCCCTGATGTCAGAGTCTGGGTAGAGCCACAGTGGTGGTGGCTGGGTTGATGACTAGTGTTAATTGTTTAACTTGACAAAATCTGGAATTGCATGGGAAGAAGCCTCTGAGAATATCTGAGGGAGCATCTTGATTATGTTAATGAAAGACTTGCCCACTGTGGGTGGCACCATCCCCTAGGCATTTATCCCTGGCTTATAATAGACTGAGCTCTTTAAATTTGTGTGTGTGTCACTGCTGTGTACAGATTTGTCTCTGCATTCAAGTTTGCCATCTTCCCAAAGATACTGGCCATCCCAAGGATCTCCTTAACTGATTTATACCTGTGAAGGTTGCTCTGGGCCTTAGTTGGTAGAGTGCTTGCCTAGTACGCACCGAACCCCAGGTTCTATCCCTGGCACATTAAAAAAATAAAAAAGTCTTTCTTCTGCTAAGTCAGAATTTGGAGGTCTGATTTAATTCATAGTGACCACTGCCAGCCAGGGAACCATCTATGCTAGATGGTTCCGGGTGGCCTGGCTGGCCTGCTGGAAGGGAGGGGCAGGCCAGGTTTCATTGGGGGCAGGGCCCAGGCATGCCTGGGTAGACTGGTATTTTCACTGCCTGAGGACCTACAGTCCCATGGCAGAACCCAGGGCTGTGTGTTGGTTCTGGGAGGTCCTGCCCCCTGGCCTGTGGCCTCAGGGTTATCAGCTGCTTTTCTTCTCTTCCCTGAACAACAGCTTCGCCATTGACCCTGTACTGGGTTTATTTTGCTGGAAAAGGGTCAAATTCCAGTGTTCGTGGGCCTGCGTGCACCCCAGGACAGCTGGCCTGGCTGCTTCCCAGAATTTGAGCTGGAAAAGAACCCTGGCCAGACCATGAGCAGCCTGATGTGGCCTTGCTCATCCCTATGGCAGGGTGGAGGTGACCTGTGCTTATCCAAGGAAGCAGGTTCCTGTCAGCAGAATTTCATAGCCTCTTCCCTTAGAAAACCAAAAAGAAAGTTCTTACATCCCCATACAGGGTTTCTCTCTAGTAACAACATTGTCACAGCTTCACAGGTGCAGAGCTGGTGGGGTGAGGGCACTAAAGAAAAATGTTTAGGGACCTGAAAGATGGTACAGTTTATAAAATGTTTGCTGTGCAAACATGAGGATCTACGTTTGATCCCCAGCACCCATGCAAGAGTGCCTGCTGTGGGGCATGCTGGGAACCTCAGCACTGGGGAGACAGAGACAGGAAGATCCCCAGGGCTGACTGTGCAGTCAGTTGCACCAAATGCAGGTTTAGTGAGAGATACTGACCTTGGTGGCCATTCAGCAAGTCACATGTATGTTCCTTGAGCATCACTACAATATTACAAAGGTAGTGTCCTTGTCACCTGGCACTCTGAAGAAACCTGAAGCCTACACATTGCTCTAGGGAGGACTTTTTCTGTTCTGCTCGTCACCCCACGTCTCTGAGCAGGTGTGGAGGGCACGATGCCAAGAACACTACTGATGCAAAAAAGTGTCACTCTGGGGTGAACTGAGGGTCATGAACCCCTCACTTTCAATTCGTGGATGAGGCAATGGGGAATCTTGTTTGTCCCCATCCATTAGAAGTCCTGGCCCATCAGCTGGCTAGGAGACCCAGCATGAGGGTCTTGGAGCTAAGATGAATAGGGCAGGTCCTGCCTGGATGCAGATCATCTTGGTCAGTCCCATCCTGCCTCTAGATAGGGTGACCAGAGGCAGTGTCTGGTGACTCTGGTGTCTTTGGCTGAGCAGTGAGGGTGGTTCAGGTTTTCCATGTCAGTGAGGAGGATAATGTGGCCACTAACCTCTGGCTCACAAATCAAGCCATGGCTTCTGCCTGGCTCTACATGGGACATGTTTATACACCTGTCAGAAAGCCCCACAGATGGAGGGCTACATCCCAGTGTCCTTCCAAGTAGGGCCTGGAGTGGTGGCACGCACTGGCTGGCTTAGATCGTGGTGGTCTCCTTTGTCACTGTGACTCACTCACTCAAGGAAGACCCACCTTGGGTGTGATGGTGCATGCTGGCAATCCTAGGGAGATAAGAGTATCTCCACAAGTTTGAGACTAGCCTGGTCTGTAGAGCAAGTTCCAGGCCAGCCAGGGCCACATTGTGAGTTGTTAGCTCAAACCTAGCTGCCAGCCCTGGCTGGCAGAGTCCCTCCTGAGCACCGGGGTTATGGTAGGAACTAAAATAAGCCTCTTTCCTCAGTGGCAGCTCAATCTGCAGCAAAGAGAAAAGCAGTAAGAACCAAGGCAGGCAGAGGAGGCCACGTGGCCTTGGAGGCCACTGCAGAAACTGCCTCCTGTTTGCAGAGGGGGCTTCAGAGCACTGGTAGGGACACTAGGAGGAGACACACAGGGGCCAGGGTCAGGAGGTGCGCCTGGGATGGTGGCCACTGGTCCAGTTGCAGCCTGTGGGCAGGACAGAGGCAGGACTAGTGCAGAGTGCACACTGACAGCCTAGCCTGAGAAGGCCTGTGGGCACTCAGTTGCAATGTGTGCCTGGCTGTGGACTGGTTGTTTCTTCTGTGACCTAGTGTGTGTACACCACACAGCCCCTCCTCTTTGCACCTGCCCTGGACACCATGGACACACTAGGAGCTATACCAAGCAATCCCTGAGACTGCAGTCCTCACAGCAGCCCTGCTGGGCTCCAGCACAGTCTCCCATTTGAAAGCAGATTGCGGTACACTGCCAGGCCAGGCCTTGTTGCTGAGTCAGAGGCGAGCCCAGGGCCTGACCACAGGACATTTTTGAGATTCCAGGGCTGGCTTCACAGTAGTAAACCTTCTTACCCTGCCGCAGGTCTAGCTTCACCAGGTCCAAAATCCTAGCCTTGCAGGACCAGGAAGTACCTTGGGACAGGAGACATGGGAATGGAGACTGGAGGTGAGGACTAGAGGTCACAGGGTGAGCACCCTTTGCTCTCCTCCTCAAGTCAGCAGGGCACCCTGTGGTCCCGCCTGCACCCATGAAAGGAGGAGGCATTCGTGGTAGGAGACATGCTCAGAGCCCTCTCTACTAAGGTTTGGATTTTTCCTACAGATTAAAATGTTTCTATGTAACAATTCATTTTCATGGCTTAAAATCTTAAAATGTGAAAGAGGACCCTAAAAGATAGCTAGCTCAACAGGTGAGGGGCCTGTTACCACACCTGACTATTTGTGTGTTGTGTGTGTGTTTACTTGTGAGCCCACATGTTCTCGTGTGTGGGGGTACCCATGTGGAGGCCAAGGATCAATGTCAGGGGTCTCCCCCAGCTCTTTGACACTTTAATTTTTGAGACAGGGTCTTTCGCTGAATCTGTGACTCATTGGGTCCCAAAGATCCTTCTGTCTGTCCCCTAGCACTAGGATTATGGATATGCACTCTGGACCCAGCTTTTCCATGGGTGCTGGTATCTGAACTCAGGATCTCCTGCCTATGCAGCATCTCCTTGGCCCACTGAGCTATTGTCCCAGCTGCTATGTTTTTTTTCTTTTTTTAAACAAATTTTTTCAAGGTATGGGCTATACCTGTAATCTTATTACTCAGGAGTCTGAGGCAGGAGAATCCCCGTGGGCTTGAGGCTAGCCTGAGCCATAGAGCAAGACCATATATACTCAAACACACACACACACACACACACACACACACACACACACTCTCCAGGCTTGGTGGCACACTCTTTTAATCCCAGTACTTAGGAGGCAGAGGCATATGGATCTCCATGAGTTTCAGGCCAGTCAGGACAAATAGTGAGATCTTTTCTCAAATAAATAAATTGATTAGTATTGATTAGTTAAAATAAAATTACAAAGATATCTTGGATATAAAAATAACAAAACAAGCTTTTCTGCCCCAGCCCCTCAGCCCAATTTTTCTCTCCACAGAGGACAAATGTCAATTTCCAGAGGGTTTCCATAGGTATGTTTTATTCAAATCCTCTAAGTTTATGCCTATAGACAGGTGTGTGTGTGTGTGTGTGTGTGTGTGTGCTTAAGCATACACACATGAACACTGTGTGTTCTGTTATGTTAAAGGGACCACCTCAATTATTTTTGACAAAAGTCAGCCTTTGTGCTGCATATCTGGGAAGTGCAACCAAGATGGGTAGGTTGAGATGACCATCACATAGTGAAGCCAGAGATGTGGTCAGAGGCCATTGCTAGACAGATTCTCCAAAGCCCTCTGGAAACCTCTGCCCCAAAAACCTGAGGGCACCCTGGGAAGGGGATATGGGAGCCACCCACGATAAGCCTGATTGCCAGGGTCCTCTGGCTGAAGTGAAGACAGGCTTCTCGGTGTGGGGCAGAGGAGCCACGTCCCCTGAGAAGTGTTCCAGAGAGGATCTTGTCACCCTGAGACCCTGTGGAATGTCTGGGTGTGAGGGGGCGTCATGCACCTGTAAGACCCAAAGATTTCAGGCTGAGGACGGACTGCTATGCCTTCTCTGTACATTCTGTTGTCAATGCACATGTGTCACAGGTGTCTTGGGTACACTTGCCATCTGTGACAAAGACAGGCCTGTCTCCTTTGCCATTCTCAGGATAACACATGGATCAAGGAGAAGCCAGGCCAGGGTGAGAGAGGTGCTGGGCAGGAAGGGAAGGGCACACTGAGAACCCAGGTGCTCCAGGAGCTGCCAGGGTGAACCTTACATTTTCTTTTCTTTCCTTCTTTTTTTTTTTAAAGTTTTTATTTATTATGTATACAACATTCTGCTTTCATGTATATCTGCACACCAGAAGAGGGCACCAGATCTCATAACGGATGGTTGTGAGCCACCATGTGGTTGCTGGGAATTGAACTCAGGACCTCTGGAAGAGCAGTCGGTGCTCTTAACCTCTGAGCCATCTCTCCAGTCCTGAACCTTACCTTTTCTTTTCACTCACCAAAGAAGCAGGGCTTGTACTAACACCCCACCCCTGCCTGAGGTTCCTAGGAGGAGGAAAGCGGGGATCCCCAAGATGGAGCTCTTTTTCAACCTGGAATCAGCAAAGATGTGTGGGAAATTCTGATATTGAACTCCTGAGTGTCCTGCCCGGCCTGTCCCTGGGTGAGATTGCAGCTTTCGCATAAAGCAAACAAAAACATGGGAAATATGACAAACTTGGCAGATCAGGGCTCAAAGCTCCTTGATTAGCCAGGAGGAAGTGTGTGTGTGTGTGTGTGTGTGTGTGTGTGTGTGTGTGTGGGTGTGTGTGGGTGTCTTTGTGTTCTAGAAACCAAGACTGTGGTGCATGCCTGGAACCAAAACACTCAGGAGGCTACCGCAGGAGGATAGCAAGCTTAAAGCCACATAGTAAGACTCTTTCTCAAAAACAAAACAAACCATAGTTTTCCTTTTTTTTTGTTAAACTCTTTATTACATTTATTTGTACGTATGTGGAGGGTATGAGACAACTAGTGAAGGTTGGTTCTCTCCTCCACTGTGTGGGTCCTAGGGATTGAACTCAAGTTATCAGGCATGGCATCAAGTCCCTTCCCCCTCCGCCCCCCACACCTGTTGAGCCATCTTGCCAGCCCACTCTCTTTGTTTTAAAGACATTGGCCTAACTATCGATCATGAGCTCAGCTGTACTCTGGGGCTAGCCTTGGCACCTTAGGCCTCATCCTCATTCATACCAGTCTGCACACTTGGGTCCCTCCCCGGGAATGGCCCAGACACCAAGAGGAGGGGCTTCTGCAACACCCTGCCCCCAGTTCACCCTAGAGCAGCCTGGAAGTATGCAACCCTCAGAGGAGGGTACCAAGGACCCTGCTGTGTCACAGCAGAAGCCTTTGGATTCCTGGGAAGGACAATGAGTAGCCACCACTGACCTTTAGTCCCAGCCCTGTGACACTCCTTGATAGAGACTAGAGCTGTCAGCCTGGGGTGGTATTCCTGACCAGCCAGGCTCAGCCACCATCCTCAAGAAGTCAATTAAACACCAAGTAACAGTGAAAAGCAGAGAGGAGAGTCATTCAGTGTGGCTACATTGGAAAGAGGGACAAAGAGATCTGGTGACTCCCAAGTCTGTCCTCGGGGTCCAGACATGAGGTTCAGGCTTAAACAGAGGGCAGCAGGTGTGCATAGGTAAGCAGTCCTAGCCAAGGTGTGGTCCTGCCCCTCACTGACCCATCCCTGTCAGCTCCAGTCTCTCCTGCAAGGTGGTCTGGCAAGTTCTCAGAACTCTCTGAGATCTCTCTGGGAGACAAGCTCCCCCTCTGACTGGCACCAGGCTTCAGCCTTTCCCTTCCCCAGAGTGAGACTCCCAGGAAAATTCCGGTGCATTGTTTCAAAATTCTGATGGCCAAAGGACAGGGCACCTGTGTCTCTGTCCAGAATCTTTCACTCCTGCTAGGATGGTGATACTAGACTAGTCTAGACAGACTAGATATCTTCTGCTTCCTCCCACAGCAAGGCAAGGGGGCGGCTTGCTAACTGGATGCTTGCACATCGCACTAAAGGAGAGCCATTCTGCACACATAGACTATCTGCCCAGCCTCAGGTCCATAGCCTGCAGGAATTCAGTGCTCTCCAGGGAGAGAGCCAGACCCAGAGCCGATTTCTCCACTGGATACACACTTGGAGCTTCTTTCTGAACCAGCCCTTATCTGGGGAGTTCAGCTCACAGGTAAGGCTCCTGTCCTCAAGCCTGTAGCATTGTGGGGTCATGGGACCCACGACAGCTCAACTCTTAAGTCAACCACTGTTAGTGGGTGATGGCTGGGTGCTCAGGGTTGCAGATGGTGGGGAGGGAAGCCTGAGCTGTCAAGTTGCATACTGAGAACTGTGCCGGGAGCACTGAAGCCACATGCACTGGTTGGATTGAGTGTCCAGGACCGCTGGAGATGGACATCTAGATGGAGTCCGGAAATGCAGCCTCTCTCAGAGCTTCTTTTGATTTTCAATGTTGAGGATCAAACTTAGGGTTTCACATGCTACGTAGTTACCCTACCGTGGAGCTATAGAGTCAGGGTGTCTCTCTGTTGTCCAGGCTGGCCTTGAACTGGTAATCTTCAGCACGGGGAGGAGATTCACAGAGGTCACACAGTGGACAGAGGAACAAGAGGCAGAGCTGGGGTGCAGCCTGCCTGTATGATGTTAGCAGTGGGTGGAAGAGGGTCTTGAATTTGGGCCCCTCCTCTGCTGCTAATCTAGAAGTTTCTGTCTAGAGCCCAGCATGGCTTTACATGCTCTGCTGCTGATTCTGTGCAAAGTCCTTCCAGGGCAGGTAAAGGGGAACCCAGAATCCAGCCCGAGCTTTGCTGCTCCTGAGGTTGGGGTGGCTGTTCGAGTTGGGCAGACAGGTGCAGCAAGTGTCTCCATCCCACTGTAGGCGTTGACCTCTGCCAGTACCAGCAGAGCCCTGATAACTGCACCACGGAGGCCCATGCAGGAACAGGACCCTTCAGACAGCTCCTAAGGCCCCAGACCTAGCCCAGGCATAGAAAGTGTAGATTCCAAATGGAGGGAAGGCCCAAGGTGCTGGGCCTGCCCAAGACTGTGGACTTACTATGCCTGGGCTCAAGTGATGTTCTTGGGGTGGGATAGGACATGGATCTTGTCATCATACTTCCTGTGAAAACAGGAAGTTTGGGGGTCAATAGTAAGAGTGGGGGAAGGGAAAGGAGACTGAACTGAATGAGTTTAAGCTGGGGCAACCCTCAAGGTCCAGGATGGAAGAAGTACTCACCCCAAGACTCCAGAGTACAGGGCTAGTCTGGAGACTGCTGGCTTTGCCCAGCCACACTGTCCCAGGCTCTGGTCCCTTGGCCTATTGATCCCTGACTTCCCATGGATCCTGGCGAGGTGGGTATGATAAATAGCTTATTGCTGGGACTTCTAGTCACAGTACACCCAAGGAGACTTGTTCGCCTCCTTTGGTCCTCGGTTACCCTTCTGTAACTGCTTTTTTGGAGTGGCTGGAAGTGATTGTGGCCATGACTATGTGAACCTTGACCCTCTGCAGGCAACTGCCTCCTCTCCGAGGACCCCTACTCAGGTGTCAGCCCAGGAAGTTATGCCCTCAGTCACATTCTGAGACCAGCAAGAATTCTTTCCTGCTGGAGTTTTGTCAGGAAAAAGGGGTGTCGGGAGCCTCTCTCCTCAACTTCTGCCTAGAACTCAGGACCGGAGTAAAGAGGGCTGCAGCACAGGTACCCTGGGCTTACCTTCCTCAGCTCCTATCTCAGCCTCTCTTTGCCCCCAACTTCCTCCCTGTCCCCCTGCCCCCCACTTCCCTTTGGGTGAAAGGAGCAACTGCCTTTCTGTGTGCTTCTATTTCTGCACCTTCCGCTTCCTGCAGAAAGTTCTGGAATCCACAAGGCCAGCTGGCCCTGAGGGCAGGATGTGGGGGGCCTCAGATTTCCTTTTCTCCAGTAGCCTGGCCCCATGGACTCCTCAGGGAGAAGGAAGTGCTGCCTGGGCCGGGCAGTCCCCCAGAGGTAAACTTTCACTGGCATTTGTGTTTATCGCCTCCTGTATACAGGCTGGAGGGAGGGCGCACCACAGGGCAAATACTCATGCAGTCTTCTGAGAGCAGCTTCCCAGGTAGGCTTTGCTCTGCTTCAACTTTACAGGCAAAGGACAGACATATCAAGCAAGCTATGCAAAGGGAATGGCCAAGGCATGGCAGGTTCTCACAGACAGTGCAGCTGGGGCCAGGCTCAGCTCAGCTGGAAGAGTGCTCACCTAGCCAAGATGCCCCAGGTTTCATACCCAGCACTGCATAAACTGAGTGTAGTGTTGCATATATCTGTCATCCTGTCACAGGAGGTGGGGGTAGAGTTCAAAGTCATCCTCAGCTACCTAGAGAAGTCTAGGCTACATGCGACTCTGTCTCAAACACACAAAACAAAACAAAGAAACTCACAAAGGTAGGACACGGGGCTCTTCCGTTTTCTACTCTCTTGAAAAAGTGAAGTGTGCATGAAGGAGACACAGGGAAGAGGGGGAGGGAGACACGGCTGGTGCTGCTGACGAAGTTTCTGGAAATCCCAATTGTTTTTGAGCCACTTGGCGTTCCAGGGTTTGGGTGGGAATCATTGCAACACCTGCAGCCTCAGGGCCCAGGTAAGACAGTGCAGGTGTTGGGAGGGGACCCCTTTGTCATCATTGTGATTCGGAGGGTGGGGCTGGGCCTGCCTGGCCTCTGTCCCACCCAGGGCAGTGCTATGATCTGAGGAAGGAGTTGCAGGTCCCCATGGGCAAGTGCAGAGCCAGTGCGGTCAGCAGGAGCAGCAGCCTCGTGGACATATGAATGGGTCAGAGCTGGTGACCACCCTGGGGGGAGCGGGGCTGGATCTCTGTCTCTGCCACCTTCTGGGCTGGAGGCCACCCCTTTCCCTCCTGCTTCACCTGCCCCTTGAATGCAGCCCTGGTTGTTGGTTGAATCTGAACTCCACTGAGTAGTAACATCAGACTGTTTAAAGATTAACTTCCCAGGGCTGGGGACCTGGCTCAGTCGCTAGAGTGCTTGCTGTATAAGCATGGGGACCTGAATTCAGATCTCCGGAACCCAAGTAAAATGGCAGGTCTGGAAGGGCCATTCTCAATGAACACAGGTCATCCTTCAGAAAGCCAGGAGCAATCACATTCTCTCCAGCTACAGAGAAATCCAGCCACTCACATGCACGGTCCTGAGTCTACCTCAAAGGCTTCTTACTAAAGATCTGAGTGCTCTGGCAGGATTATCCATTTGGGAACTCAGTGCCCACAAGTCAGCAGCTTCCAGATCTTAGTGGTTTGTAGGAGCTTTTTGCATATGAAAGATATGTTTGTCCTTCCTAGTTTGTGATATGTTCTCCGGATCTTTGAAACATTTGTCTCTCACGGTAAAGAAGTGTGTGAGCCAGTGTCTCAGACTTATTTTTTATGGCTAGGATTTCCCCCCCAAGTTGAAAGTTTTCTTTTTTCTGTATTTTTATATATATTTATTTATTTGTGGGACATGAATGCCAAGATTAGTAGCAGGCAACTTTATACACTGAGCTATCTCAGCAACTTCAAAAATATCAGTTAACTGTTTCTTTTCTTCAGTGGGGTTCAGCATCACCTGACTTGGACATGTAAACTGTTTCCATAGGGAGAAGAGGCAGTCTGTGTCCCCTGGTTCATGCCTGCTCTCTGGGACAAACCAACTGTCTATGAGAATATAAAGGGTAGGAAAGGCCCATGGACTGCCGGACTCTGGACTCTACACTGGAGCATTAAGTGTTCTTATAGGTTCTGGGCAGAGGGGCCTTGTGTGTCACACTTATTGGTGTCCAGATTCCAGTTCCTCTTGCACCAAAGGATGAGAAATCACCCAGCCAGTGAAAGCAGAGGGTCCTCTTTATGCATACGTTAGGGCTGAGGGCTTTGTCTATGGGAGGACTGGCAGGGCAGGGTGGCTGGTCACTGGAATCTGGATGGAACATACCTGTGACCTCATTTGTATCTGGAGACAGGTGAGTTACAGGGAACACCTACTTCTAGCGTAATCTCCCATTTTGTGATTACCCACATGTCTCTGTATGCTTTCATTCACTCAGGAATGGAGAGGCTTGATGGTATGAATCAAGCATAAGAATGTCAGAGAAGGATGTCAGGCCAACAGAGGACAGGACTCGGGGTAGGGGTGGGGAGAGGTCTGCTTACATAGAGACTTTTGGAGGAGGGTTCTGGCTGAAGTAGCCAAGCTGCCAAGGTTGGGGGCCATGTTCTAGTACTTACATCGATAGCTGTGGCCTTTCTTGCATAAGGCAGGAGGGTAGGAAGCACTGCTGCCCAGGAGGCCGGTGCTGCAAGCCAGATGACAGGGAGAGATGGACAGACCCTGGAACTGAGGCCAGAAGGACGTGGTGTGGGACAGGCTGAGGTTAGGAAGGGGTCCAAGTCACATCAAAGCTAAACCCCAATCAATCCAACCAAGGAAAAGTCCTAGGCTGGCCTCCTCATGGTTAAATCCTAACACTCAAAGAGGAATTCACACCAGGTCTTCCCAGATTCTCCCAGAATACCTCTTCATTCATTTGACTAAGTTGGCATTTCTCTGACACCGCAACAAGAGTGAACCATACACTAATACCCTTATTGCAGAGGCTGTGTATTCAGGAAGGTGGGGGAAATGGCTCAGTGAGTAGAGCTGCTTGCTGCTAAGACTGTGACCTGAGTTCCATCCATAGAACCCACATGATGGAGAAGAGAACTGACTCTTCCTTGCAAGTTGTCCTCTGACCTTCACACCTGGGCCCCCAGAGCTTATCACACACAAATATCACACCACATTCAAACACACACATCTCATCACATCCACACACAGCACACAGCACATACACACACAGCACAAACACACAGATCACATACACACACATAACACATCACACACACATCATACCATACCCACCCATCATATTACATACACACATCACACACACACACACATCCTATCACACACACATCACATCAAATACAACACACACACACACACACACACACACACACACACACACACAGGAGACTGCCGGCTAGCTACCTCTAATCCCCAGAAGTTATGAGCCAGTGGCTTCACAGCCAGGTCCCAGCACTAGACAGGAAAAGAACAGATCAGTGTGTGGATGCCAGACCAGGGACAGCAGTGGCTAACAACAGGGACACAGACTATGTTGGTTCTGGGTCCCCACTACATGGGCTATGAAGTCAAGTCCAATGTACATAGTAGGCACACAGGTAAGGGTCACAGAACAATCAGAGGTGCCCAGGGGACCATGCAGGTAGGGCCTGGTGGGGAGTTCACCTCCACCACCAGGATGGCTCCAGTTAGAAGGGCTACATGCCAGAAGGTTCTGCCAGTGCCTCTAGAAGTTTCTGTCTGGAGCCCAGCATGGCTTTGCATCCTTTGCTGCTGATGCTGTGCACAGTCCTTCCAGGGCAGGTAAAGGGGAACCCAGAATCCAGCTCGTGCTGTGCTGTTCCTGAGGTTGGAGCAGCTGTGGGAGTTGGGCAGGCAGGTGCAGCAAGTGTCTCCATCCCACTGTAGGCATTGACCTCTGCCAGGGCCAGCAGCCCCCCACCTCAACCCACCCATGGTTTCATTCTCCAGCCCCATGCAGATCAGAGGTACCAAGGCACAGGCCTATAAACACAGGCCCCACACAGATGCTCACAGAAGGCCCAGGTGCTCACATGCTCTCACATGTATTCACAACCCCACACAGGCACTCGTGATGTACACAGAGGACAAACTTGAAAACATGCCTGCATGTACTCCCACACATGGTCATACACCCACATGCACCACCCAAAACAACCCGAGGCAGGGGCTACCATCCACGTGCCATGCTGCTAACCAAATGAACCAGTTGGGACTTGCTTAATTGCTGTTGGGGGAGGAGCCATCAGCATCCCAGGATGCCTGCCAGCATGTGGGTGGGTGCCTTCCAGCCCCTTGCTGCTTGGTAACCAAACCCAAGCCTGGCCTCAAGAATGCCAGGCAGAGGAGAGAAAAGGAAAAATGCCCACACCCTATAATTTAAACATGTCTTTGTGGCACACAGCCTGCTGGGCCTTGCCAGTGCCAGGCATCCTGTGGGCATGTGAAAGGCTGCCGGCTGAGTGGCCAGTGGGCATGGCCATCAGGTAGGGGCACCCTGGTCTCCCACCCCTGCTGCAACCACACTCTGGTTTCCTCCTTGTTCTTCAAGTCTGTCCTGCAGCCGGGCACTGCTGAGGTCTAGAAATGGCACCTTCCTGCTTATTTCCCATGCCCCGAGGCTCACTCAGGTCACCTGAGAATTCTATGTGGCCTCACACCCACTTCCAGCCCTGAGGATGACACAGGGTCCTATGACCTGCCCTGAGCTCAGGCTGCTTCTCCCCTGGTCCCTGTGACTCTTCAGCCTTGGTTGACCTCAAGTGAAGTCCCATTTTCCCCTCTGGTTTTTGCAGTATTATTTCTGCTCCCACTAACCCCCGTCCTCGAAGTCTTGGTCCCCAGGATGCTGGTTGAGCCTACTGAACCCTGCTGGCATCCTAAGTGGGGATCCGGGTTGTTGTCAACTTCCTGGTGCAGGACATCACAAGCGGCAGGGATTTGTGGATTTCCCAAACCTGCCTTATCCTTAGATGTCAGGCCACACTTTGATCAGAGTATGTTCATGGGCCATGAGGTAGGGCTCTGTCATTGCTTGTGGTTAATCCACAAAAGGGCTCTCTCATCATGAGCATGAAGAGACACACCCTCCATCACGGTCTACATGTCCCCTGGTGACCCATCTCTCACCGGCAGCACTCTTCCTGTGTGTTCTTGAATGAATTACATTATTACCCACCCCAGGGTCTTTGCACAGCTTCCCCTCTAATTCTTTCCGCCACTGGGAAGTTGTCTTCTGGAGTTATGGCCTGGACAGAGTCTTCCAAATCTGAATCTTCCATCCCTCTCCAGCACTGCCCACCTCTTTCCTGGACAGATGGCTTTTTAGTTTTAGTTTTATTTTATTTCATTTTTGCATTCTTTGCTAAACATTGTGTTTAGGTCTTTAGCCTCTGAAGTTATGCTCCTTCATGTTCCTACAGCTAAGCATGCCAAAGGTGTCCAATAAATGGTGATGACTTGACTGAAGCAAGCTGGCGCCTGGGGTGAGGGGGTTATTCACACCATGAGGGTTGTGTTTATTACAGTCCCTCATGCTTTTGTCATCCTATAGGTTTAGGTGGCAGGAGTGCCGTGTTGAAGCCGAGGGTCCTCAGTTGAGATGTTTCTATATTCTCTCTCATGTCAGACCCTTCAAGTCTCACTCCTTGGGCAGTGTGGCTTGCTGTGCTGTGCCATTTGAGTAGACTGCAAGGTTGCCATTCATTCCTCCTCCCTGTGTGTCCTGGCCAACTCTAACCTCCAAGTCACAGGGCTGTGACTATACCTGCTGATCCCTCCTTAGTCTTGGCGTGCCTCTAGCAGGTGTGAGCCCATCTCATCTTCCCCTAGAAGGCACCTACCCTGCAGGTACCATGGGACACTCAGAGCAGTGGCACAGACCACCACCCTGTCTGAGGAACCCTTTAATCCCATTGACTTTAGAGAGGGGGCAATCACCAAGGTGCCTGGCACTTACTCACATAAATTGTGAAGGGCTTGCCACCATGTCAGGCAGGTGTTTCTCGGAGCAGGGGGCCTGTGTGGGAGGGTTCGGGAACCTATCCTGCCAGGCATCTCCCCAAAGCCCCTGGGGCTCCCTTAAGCCCTGTCCTAGCCCTACTCAGTCCCTAAGCATTTCTTAACTGTTGTTTTCTAGGTAATGCTGGGACTGTCAGATGAACTCTCTTTAGGCTTCAGTTACTGGGTTACATGGGGATGTCCCAACATTCTTTGCTTCTATATGACAGACCCCATTTCCTGCATACCAGCCCTCTAAGAAACTAGTTATCCCCATCTCCTATTCCTTTGGAGCTAGCTGTCCCCACTCCCAGCACCCCTGGCTAAGAAAGAGGTGAGGATGGGAAGGCAGGAGCGAATACACATGTCCTGACTAGACAGATCTCTGGGAAGATCTGCCCCCACACAGGGGTGACCCACACTTCTGGGGCCTGGCTCCTTCATCTTCCCCAAAGGTCTGGACAAATCATGCTCCCACTCACTGGTGACCTAACACTCCAGAGCCGCAGAGACTCAGAGGCTTGCTGGACCCGAGTGAGCTGAATGCTGCTTGGCCAGTGTCACCATCTCTGTCCACAGCCACAGTTCTGCTTGCTTGTCTGTTCAAATGATGTACCCATCTCCCCCATCTCATCCTCTCAGTGCCTGGCTCTCTGCCCTTCCTACCACATCAGCCTCACAGGATCTACCAAGTGGCTGTCTTATCCCTGTGTGCTTGTGGATGGTGAGGAAGTAAGGGGCTGTCCTCTGTGCGGAAGACCTAGTGCTTGCATTAAAGACGGGCAGAAGGGTGCAGGGGGAGCCAAGCCCAGGGCTATAGGTAGGCTCAGCTACACGTCCATGCCACCTGCATCATCCCAGTTTCTTGGAATGATGGAAAACATTGGTAGGTAAGGACACCAAGAGACCAGCCCTGATCAGTCAGGGCTGTCTGCAGCTCTGGTCTTCCAAACCCATCTTGAATTTTTTTTTAACCAGGTCCACTGTTTGCTGAGCTCATTCTTTAGTGTATGTGGTTGGTAGAACATGGCAGTCACCAAATCTGCCCTCAACCCCTGAAGACTGTGTTAAGGAGGTGAAAGAATTGGGGATGACGACATCAGTGGAATTCATGGAGATCTGGGGATGGCAGGTACAGGGATAGGATAAATCCTGCACAGTGGTGTGTGGCCACATTGCTCTCAGGAGCTGCTTATGGAGGTTGCAGGAGTTGTTTGACAATGGTTAATGGCAACTATTGGCAATCAAAGTACCAATGTCATGTATCTGCTTGGAATGTGAGTGCCACAGTCAAAAGGCCAACCTCCCCAGTTGTCCTGCTTTGTTTTCCTGTCTGATGCACCCGGTCACCACCTGTTTCTCATGTACAAGGTGGAGACAGCCCTTCCCAGGTGGCTTTGTTGACTATCTAGACTTTGGAAAGTGCCCAAGAAAACATGAGTGGTGTAGATTAAACCGGAAGTATGTAACTTGTAGCTTTCAGACCATGACCAGCCCAGAGCATCGATGAACTATTCATTCACGATTCACCCAAGCTGGCCAACAGGCAGCTCCTGTACTTGCGAAATGAATGAGATTCCAAGCCCTGGTCCATGTGAAGTTAGATGGAGGTGTGACTCATTAAGGTCAACAAGAATGAGACCGGCATACCTACACCTGCTCAGAAATGGTCTCCAAAGTTTGCCATGGTCCATTGGCCAAATAAACAAGACCACACATAGAGGACGCAAGGGCACTGTGCCTTAGAGTTTTTTCTTTGAATTTGACTAGCTGGAGGTTTTCTTGGCATGGTGAGTTGTGATCTGACATGGGTCCCAGAGAAAATTCTAGCTCACATTGTGGACAAGTAACCCATCTTCACTCACAGATAAGTGACATCTCATTCACTGCCCACACATGCCCCCAGTGACATCCTACTCACTGCCCACACGTGTCCTCAGTGACATCCCACTCACTGCCCACACGTGCCTTTAGTGACATGCTACTCACTGCCCACACGTGCCCCCAGTGACATCCTACTCAATGCTCCCAGACCAAAACCCAGACCCAGATCATAGCCACAGATCTGACAGCCACTGCCTTCCTAGTACCCCCCCACTCCATGGTAGACACCTTCCTGCAACTCCATGGACAGATTCCGGACTTCAATATATAACAGCCATACCCATGTCTGTGTGTCTGTCTTCTTTCCCGTGTCCATGGAGGTGAGATCCCTCTACCTTGTCTCATGCATCTTTGACTGTTCATTCCCTGTTGCATAATATTCCACGGTGCATCCAGCTATGATGGAGCAGACCTTTAACGTCAGCAGTCTAGACACAGATGGATCTATGTGAATTCAAGGTGAGTTTGGTCGGCAAAGCAAGTTCCAGGCCAGCCAGGGTTGCATAGTGAGACCATGTCCCAAGAAAACTAAAACAAAACAAAACAAACAAAAAATTCCATAGTGCATACATCCTTCATCCCATTTGTCCACTTTGGTGATAATGGGCATTTGAGTGGCTTCCGGTGCTCAGGTTGCTATATATAATGTCACCAGAAGTAACTGAGTCTTTGGATAAACATGACTGTAGATTCGCTCAGGGAATGTATCTGAAGAGACTAACTGAGTCTGGATTATCATGTGCCTAGCTTTAGCCAAGTCTGCAAACCATGTCACAGAGGTAAGTATGCGCACGCACATGTACAGAAGGTGAGGTCAGAGGTTAACTATGTATGGGTGTTGCTCCTCAGATACTGACTGTTGGCCTTGTGTTTTGAGGCAGGACTTCTCACTGGCCTGGAGCTTGTCACTAAGCCATCCTGATTGTCCAGAGAGCCCAGGGTCCCTCTTATCCCCGCCTCTTGAGTGCCGGCATCTCAAGTACAAGCCACTGTGCCTGATTTTTCATGCAGGTTCCAGGGACCAAACTCAAGTCCTCGTGTTTGCAATGTATTGACTGAGCCGTGTCCCCTGCTCCATGTCCTAAGGTTTGTAACAAGTCATACTCCATCAGCACTGTGTGGTTGTGACAGGCTCTCTGCCTCTCCCCAGCATCGTCCTTTGCTTCTGCTTTAGCCACTCTGGGGAGTGCCATACAGTAACTCACCATGCTTGTTCATTTTCCCCATGACTGACTCATGGAATCAGCATCTCTTCGAATGTTCATCGCCAAGCACAACATCCTCCCTAATGAAAAGGGCCGTGTCTGTCAGAGTGACTTGTGTTAAAGATGGTTGATGTGAGGGGGCCCTTCTGAGACTGTGTGTTCCTGGTGTTTGGGGGGTCCCACTCCCGGGCTGTGTCCTTGCTTTTCCCATTGAAGTCATCTCAGGCCTGGGATTTCTTCACCCTCTTGGAGAGGGGAAGTAATTAGCATTTCTTGAGCACTATTTAAGAAAGAATTACCAGTGGGTCTGCTGGCACAGGCCTGTCATCCCAGCTGTGGGAGAGGCTGAGACAGGAGGATCACTAGTTTAAGGTCAGCATGGTCTGTTCCTAAATAAAAAGTAAACAGTGGTCTGGGGCTCAGTGCTAGAGGACTTTGCCTAACAGGTCCTAGGCCTTGAGTTTCATCTGTACAAATATTCACAGAATACCATCACTCATTAGCCACCTATATAGTGACTGTCACCCTTTGGTTTCTCCACTTGGGTTCCTGAGAACACACAGTTGGCCCCACCCTACTTGTTAAAAGACCCTGACATACGCTAGTTGTCGAATGTGATCTGTGTCTGTAGATCTTTGTTCTCATGGGTGAAATGAATGCCATCATGTCTAAAATGCCGCTGTCCTGAAACTACCCAGTTATCTGTACTGCCCACCTGTCTTTTTAGTTTGTGTTTTTTTTTTATTTTTTATTTGAATTGGTTTTTGTTTTTTAAGACAGGGTTTCACTGTTCTGGAACTCACTCTGTAGACCAGGCCGACCTCAAACTCACAGAGATGGTATGTTTGTTTTTTGAGAAAGTCTCATGTAGCTCACAGTGGTTTCGAAGTTACTAATAACGGAGGATGACTTTGAACTCCTCATCCTCCTGTTTCTACTTCCCGAGTGGTGGGATGGCATGACAGGCATGGGCCGTCGGATCTAAATCTATGTTGGTCTGGGAATAGAATCCAGACCTTCTTGTGTGCTAGATAAGCACTCTTCCAACTGAGTCACATCCACAGCCAAGTAAAGGCACAACTTGACTCTCCTGCCTTTCAAGTGCTGGGGTGACAGGTGTGTGCTTGTCCCTCCCCATCTTTGTCCTTTGTCATAAAGATTGTCTATAATCTTGGCTCTTTGGAATTTCCTCTGGAATTATGAACCCCCCTCATCAGTGTCCAACAAGAAGAAAATACAGGAATGAGGCAAAGCACATCCAGCAAAGAGCCATTGCCTTGTTCAGCCAGTGTCATCACACTTCTTACAGCTGCCATGTCCAGACCTGGGGATGCAGAGCGGAATGGATCTGTGCTAGCTGCAGCCCCAAGGGTAGATGCTTTTCTAGTTCGTTCCGTCAGTGATGGATGGAAGCCCAGAGTGCAAAGACCACTTGCTCAGCACCTACTGTGTGCCAGGTGGAATCATCATGCCACTATCCTTGTTCCCAACCTTCCCCCAATGCCCCAGCTGCCACAAGACAGGAGTTGAGAGGCAGGGAAAGTAGGGAATCTTTAAGACTGGAAGATCTGGGGACATGAGAGGACCTGGTGTATGTGCATAGGGACCTCAAGAGGCTCTCTGAGACCTGAGTTGAAGGAGAGGACGAGGGAGGTGGAAGGGCCAATCTTGGATGAAGCATGTCAGCTCTCTGCTTGGAAGTGCCAGGGCTGCCAGAGGCCAGGAGGGAAGTGGGAGAGCCACCTGTCTCACTGGAGGTGATAGTGATCTGCATATGGTGGGGACAGGTGATGTGCTGCAGAGGTCCCAAGAACACAGACAGTAGCATGAAAACTGGAACCACATAAAAAGTAAGCAGAATGTTGGAGGACAGAGGAGACTCGGCGTGGGGCCAAGGAGGTAGAAGCAGGCAACCCCAATACTGAAGAAACCACATGTGCTCCAGGCCAGCTGCTAGGGCAGAGCCAGCCAGGGGCACTGAACCCATCGCACACATGGGTGGTATGGAACTCCTTTGCACTGGATGGTGGGCAGTCAGTGGAGTCTCCTCCCTGGTCACCTCTGCATACAGCACACATACATACTCTGTGAGCTTCATACATGTGAACAAGTGGGCTGGCAGACAGATGGGCGGATAGACAGTTGGATGGTTGGATGGGTACATGGTGTTGGATGGATGGGTGGGTGGGTGGATGGATGGAAGGATGGATGGAAGGATGGATGGGTGAATTTCCATCCACAAGGACTTAAACATTTTCATTTGCAAGGGGCTTTCTATTACTTCAGATATTTTAGTCTGCCTGTTGATATATGGCTGAAACACATGCTCGTGGTTGGCCACTCCTGAGATGAGCTAACCTTCTCCCTGTGGGTGGAAGTAGAAAATGAGATATATTCTTGTTTTGTGTGTGTGTGGGGGGGGGGTCTTTTCTCTTTGGAAAGGTGCTGAATGAATATATAGGCTTCCCTGGGAGCCAGCCCCTATAGTCAGACCAATCCCATATTAGACTGGATAGAGGCTGTATGTGGACTGCAAGCAGTGTAGACAGGCCTGTCCTGTCTGGTGTTGCTATGCTCGTACTCCCAGCCATGACCACCACCCCCGTCCCCCCCCACCCCCGCAAGGTCAGATAAAACAAGCTTTCCTAGTCTTAGATCCTCATTGTCCCAGCTCAGTAGGCCTGGCCATGCAGGTGACCCTGTGTTTGGAAGGTCCCGGTGTGTTTCTGCCTACTACCTCTGCTTAGTGGTCTTGAACTTGATGTCTTTTGGAATCAGGTGTTGCATTGTGTTCTGGGCCCTGCCTGGGCTACCTACCTCCTTTTACAGGGAGAAGAGAGCCACCTCTCCCTGGAAGGCACTGGTGCATTCCAGAAGAGTCTTTCTGCATGCTTGGAAGCACGCAGAAAAGAGGGACCCTGTGAGCCTTTCTGGGTGAAACTGGACCTACTTCAGCTCTGACATCAGGATCTCTGTGTACCCGAGGAGGAGATGTAAAGCCAAAAGGTCATGGCAAGAGGCTCTGAAGCTGTCCCTGCCTGAACTCATCACCTTGGACTCTGCATAGGAGGTCCTGGGAAAGGTGGTTGGGTGGCCACTCTCATACAGAAGGTCCCACAATGGTTTGGCTGGAGCTGGAGCTCAAACTTGGAGCTTCAGCCACTGTTGTTTAAATGTAGGGGTTTTGGAAAATTTTATGTGAGTTGTGCCCTCAGTTCACCCTCTGGGACTGGCATGTCCAGAATGTCCACTTTGTGGGTTGGTGTTTCCAAAGACTTCTCCAGGGGGGAGAGGGGGGAAAACGTCCCCCAGAGCCAGGGAGGGAAAGTCTTCCCCTATTGAATGGTCACTTGTTATCTGCCTAACTCATCAACACCAAATTTCAGTTGGCCTGAAGCATCTCAGGGGTGAATTCCACTGGCTGGCCCTAAAGGAACCACTGTGTAGTGGGCCAGTCTGCCTTACTCACTCATGCAGAATCTGGGGCCAGGATCTGCAGCAAAGAGTCCAGGGCTCCCCCAGATACATCCAAAGACTCCTCTATTGCCCTTGTGGTCATCCCCTTGCCCTTCCCTGGTCTTCCTCCCTAGCATATCAAGAGCAACTCCTCCATGAACCTGGCCCCAGTCCATCAGTTCCTCTACCTGGGGTCTCTTAGGGTCCTGGCTGTCAACAACACTCTATTTTAGAGAACTCCTTTAGTCTTTGGCTGTGGCAGCTATGAATCCATCGCCTCTTGTTGAGGGGAAGGCCAATGACGTCTGTGACTTTGGCTGGATCCTCTGGTTGTTGCTACCTACAGCCTAAAACCTTTCTCTCTGACTCCTTCACTGAACCCCATCTGTGTGCCTCTCACACCAGTGCTGGGCTCTTCTGGGTGAATCTCAGGAGTGTGGAATGAGGAACATGTTCATGCTGCCTCTGTCACTGAGAACACCCATGGGAGCTCCAGAGATATGTGCAGTCTTTGGTGTGAGGGAGCCTAATGATGGCTTGGATGGGCGTACTTTAAAGCCGTCTCAAGACAGGAATCCCAAACCCTTTGGTTGCCAGGGCAGTGGCTTGCCCTGTGATTACTAA